AACAGAAATGATAATGAGACTAGTTAGCTACTCGATCTCAATTAAATAACAATAATACTATTATTATTAGTGATAGTAGTAGTTGTTGTTTTTTTCGCTGTGTAGAATGAGGAGGAGTGGGAGTGTGATGATGGTGAGAAGGAGGATGAATAGAATTAGAACTCACCTCACTTACATCAATCACATATTCTGACTGTTATTCTTGTGAAAATTGATCTAATAACGTAAATCAATCTGCAGCTAGTGAACTAAGAAATAGCAGAAACGCATGTCATTGCAAGTACCATAAATAATAAACTTCGGTCAGTTGACGATTTTTAGTGTTCTCCTCAACTAAAATCTATACATTGAGATCAGCAAAAATAATTGAATCAGGATAGCTCCCACCAAATAGATTATATCGTTGCATTCGTTTTTTTAATTACCATAGTCTACAAGTGTAATAACAGCGAAATGTTTCTAGCAGACAGTCCAAATACTCGACTGTTATATTATTGATTGCATATATTTTTGAATCAGTCAACAGAGTGGATTGATTCAATCATGCACTGAAAGCATTTTAATGACATTTAACATTACAGAATGTCTTGTTCAAATCTGAGAGCCATTGAGTATATAGTCTCCTTGCGAAATCTCTATCCGTTGTCTCACAATTCATTGTTCCTTCACCTCCTTACTAATCATCCTCTCTTCTATTCAATCCCTTCCATCTTCTCAACTTTCTACTGTCAGACATTCCACTTTCCACTGATCATGTATACAACTTATATCTATCGACATCTGTAGTACACATCAAAACTACTCCAATGATTTCGTCTAATGTACACCTATTCGAAAATCAACAAGAACGTCCAATTATTCAACAACAATAAAAAATTAATCGAAAACAATAGTACAGTATGAAACTATTTTCGTTTTAGATAAACTATGTAGGAACATTGTAATTGTTTATGTATACAAGTATTTTACCAATATGATATTGAATAAAATACATATATTATGCACGTTTCTCAGTTCAATTCAAATAAATATAATGTGTTCAATGGTGAGAAGTGTTTGGATCAAACACCATTCAGCTATATCAGTATGTACTGTATTATTGTAATATTAAGGAGATTTGAAGAATTCGCATTAGAACAAAATGAGAACAAATTATACATTGAGGAGCATTGTAGCATAGGCTGCCTATCAGCATTCTCCATTCAACCCTGTTCTGGGCAATTCTTTCCAGTTCCTTCTAGTTGTATTACTCGTGGAAGAAGAGAATAGTTTTGATATATGTATATAGAGATGTTAGTCATCCATCATCTATGCACCGTGTACATCTGTACACTGTATAAAATTACAAAACATCACTTCATATCAAATCGGTGTCGGTTTATATATTTGAAAACCGAAAATTGATTGGTGAATCAAGTTAGCGAATTTTGACTTGCTTCAACTTGATGAATAAATTATTCAATGGAAGTATATGTAAAACAATAAATTTGCTAATATCATGTGGAATATAAAGACGTTTGATTTTTCGGATCTAATCGCAAGTTGATTTGGCTTATCTGGTTTATCTGGTACATCTCCTTTCGTGGATATCGTGATCAATTGTCTTTCTTCTCAATCAGGTAGGACATGACTAGCGAAGTCAATCTCAAAATCCTCCATAATATTGCAATATTGTAATGCAATCTATATACACATCAGTCAGATTACTGTGTCATTCAGTCCATCACTTAAATTGTCATAATACGTCCACCATTCAACTCCAAAGAAACGAAGAATTACGTTGCCTGCATTTGTGGTCCACATACGTCATCGCATTAATTAACATGTTTACACAACTCGCAATATCGCTCTCCTCAAAACTGTCACCTAATGACACCAGTAATTGAAAGGATGATTAGTGAGCTAGTACTGTTTTAAGGTGAAGAAAATGTCTATAGTCTGTGCAGTGATTACCTTTATTAGCAACATATATTGAGCTTCAGTGATCACGCTATCGTCAGTTTAGATGTCACCGGAATGTGGTAACATCCAGAAATAATTTATTTTTCAGCGTACTATATCTCTATATGATAAGGCGATGAAGTATACATCACACAGGAAATTTGTATACGGCAACATCAGTAATTTTTTTGTAAACGACTGTTTTCTACTTGAACAGTAAGATGGAATTGATTTGTAGTCAATGAGCAAAGAAAGACAAATGTTATATGCAAAACGTTGATGTCGTTGTAGTTCTTCAGAGCTTTCAAACTGAATAACTGCTCATTATTTTATGTCTATAAACTATCGCACGTGAATATTGTTCGATTCTCAACTGTAGTTCTTCAAATTTTGCACTCTCAACCTTAGTGATGAGTCGCTTTTTAGTTAACACGTAAATAGATGATTCCTCTACAAGTAGATCTCTCGAACATTATGTTCGAAATAATTTTTCTGTTGACTGTAATGTGATCTCAGAAGGAGAAACAACAGAGGAAAACAAATGGAATACAAAAAAACTAGCACCACCTTTAACAGAGTATCTCTTTCGAAACGATGTACAAGATTCAGAAATGGGAAAATAAGGCTCCATCAATCAATAACAGCTGAACATGAGCAGAGAAAGCCCACACATAGGCTGAATAAACAGAAGCATCTGAGTTGGTGAACAGCAGCATTGTAAGCGCTTCACGGAAGTGTAGTGAAGACCTAGCAATAACAGGGGAAACAGATGTAACAGAAGCATCAAATGAAACCATTACATTTTGGAATGCAGAAGCTAGCACAAAAATGTAGTAAAGTAGAGCTACCAATCAGCAACAAACAAGGATAACTAATCACTGAGATTCAAAATTGGTGGAATAGGCTGGTAGATCACTTTGAACAATATGAAACAACTAAATAATACAATGAAGAATCTCCTGGTGAAATATAATAAACCAGAAAGACCGTTCAAGGGCAAAGAAGGCAATACAATCACTGAAAAATCAGGATGGTCATCAGAAACATCAACGGTGGGAATGTTTTAGGACCTGACAGTATACCAACTGAAGCATTTGGTCAGATGTGGAGATGAGTGAACGTTTGCTCCAGGTTGTATTCAGGATGATTTGGGAGAAAGAACATGTGTTGATGGATTGAGAAGAAACAAATTGATCACGATATCCACGAAAGGAGATGTACCAGATGAACCAGATAAACAAAAGCAACTTGCTAATAGATCCTAACAATCAAACGTGCAAGATGTAACTCTTATCATCACTCTCGCAGTGGAGAAGATGGTATACTAGGTTATGCACCATCAACGCAACCCCAACACGTAGGCACCTGTCTTAATTGTCCACCAAAACAAATACAACAAATTATTCAACCTTACCAAAATAAGGATTTTTTTTCGGCCTCCAGAGATCCCTTGTTCCACTAGCACTACAATTCGCTCATGCTATAGCCCATGCGATCCAGCAAACACATTGAACCATAGTCCAGGCATAGCTAGAACTCACACCTTCGATAAGGATGCTCTCGGTTTTTTTACACTACACACTCCCTTTTTAAACTTATTGCATATTAACGCACGTTCACTTCTGAACAAAATTTCAGCCTTGAGAACCTTAGCCTTTCTAGCCAAGCCTTCTTTTATACTTATCACTGAAACGTGGTGTTATCCAGCAGTGGCCGATTCCGAATTAAATATCCAAAACTATCGACTCTATCGCTGTGACAGAGAAACTAAGCGAGGAGGCGGTTGTCTTATATTTGCTTTGGATACCTTAACAACTAATAAAGTTGAAGATAGTATCTTGAATAGTTTACCAGAATCGATCTGGATATCAATCAATATCCTAAACCATAGTCTACTCCTAGGTTGTATATATAGAGCTCCTGATAGTACTGATAATTTGAATGATTGTATTATCAATGCATTTATCCACGCATCTACTCCAAACTTCAGCGCTAAGATTATCACTGGTGATTTCAATTATCCTGGGATTAACTGGAGTACCGGTAGTTGTCAGTCTAGCAATGATGAATTTTTATCAATCCTTAATCTGTACTGCTGGTCACAGTGGGTTCGTATCCCAACAAGGGGTGATAATACACTTGATCTAATATTTAGTAGAGATATCATTTCCCTATCTGTACAAGTATACAACGAGTTTGAAAGCAGTGATCATAGGATAGTAACTTGTGCTCTCCCCATCTGTCCCTCCTACAACCGACCAATTCAAGAACCTGCAATTATAGAGACTATAAGCATACAGACTGGGACCTCTTGCGCTCACTGATCAAACTCTCAGACTGGGATGAATTCTTTTCATGTAATAGTCTGACAGATGCCATCAACATATTCTATTTGATTGTTAACTCTTGTCTAGACTCCTGTGCTCCAATTAAGACTTACAGGATTAGTAAACATCACGAATTATATATACCAGCTAAATATCGTAATAAACTAAGACGCCTGAAGAAACGTTATTTTAATGCTAACGACTTCACCGTAGTCACACAAATAACAATAATTTTTAACCAAATTAAAGAGAAACATAGGTTAAAAGCCATCAATGAAGAGCTATTAGCACTAAGTACTAGCTCAAAAGTGCAAAACCTAATCCACCTTTACAATAAACGTGCTAAATCAACTCAAAATGTTGATATACCATGCATCCTGCATAATAATAGTTTTATATATGACCCAAAAACTATAGCAGACCTTTTCAGTGGTAATTTTGCAAATGACAAAGAATCCATAAATGGCTCTGTTTCTAGAGTTATATGCTTGACTGGTAACTCAATAACATCTATCTCCTTCACATGTCTGAAAATTAGTAAGGTTATAAATAAGCTCAAGGTTTCGAAAGGTCACGGTGCAGACGGGATTTCATCATTTCTCTACAAATATGGTGGTCCAGATATCCAACTTCTTCTCCTTAAACTGTTTACCCTCTCTATGGAATCAGGCTCTTATCCTGACCGTTGTTATACCGCGTACATCATACCACGTTACAAATCCGGAGATAAGACTGACATGAACAACTATCGGCCAATAAATATTACTCCAGTTATCTCTAGGATAATGGAAAAAATTATTAGTGACGAACTATCCAACTATTTATTGACTGAACAATTTATTGGTGATTCGTAACATGGATTTCTTAAAAGTCGATCCTGTATGACATGTCATTTTGACTTCTTTAATTTAGTCTATTCGCTTCGTAGCCAAGGATATCTAGTATTAGTGCTATACCTGGACATTTCTAAGGCCTTCGACATGGTCAACCACCAACTTCTCATAGGTAAACTCGCATCTTATGGGGTCGAAAACCCGTTACTAGCCTGGCTTGATTCCTTCCTCAGCAATCGACATCAAATAGTTAAAATCAACTCTTCATTGTCGAACGCAGTCCCTGTTAGAAGTGGGGTAATTCAGGGTAGTGTCTTAGGTCCTTTGCTCTTTTTAGTTTTCATTAATGATATTTGTGAGTGTTTTAGTGTGGGTAAGTCCCTTTTGTTTGCAGACGATCTTAAGGTGGTGTACTCATTTTCTCCACATGAGCTGAGCAATATTCGAAATTGCATCAGCACGGAGCTTAACAAGGTAGCACAGTGGTGCTCAAAATGGCAGCTGGAGCTCAATACAGCTAAATGTGGTTGGCTATGCTTCGGTGATACATCACTCAACCTTGATCTTACCATAAATGGGGAAATGTTATCTAGGTTACACACAGTAGTAGATCTAGGACTGAGGTACTCCGATGACTTGTCGTTTACTGAACACATAATGAAACAAACGTCCAAGTCTCATCGCCTTATAGGTTTCATAACTCGAAACCTTCATAACAGCGAATCCCGTATTCTAATGTACAAAGTCTGTGTTCGACCACTCCTCGAATACTGCGCGTTTCTACTTAGTAGCACGCGCATAAAGGATAAGTTAAGACTGGAATCAGTACAGAGACGATTTACATCTCGTACTCTTGGACCTGATAGTGTCTTGACATATAATTCGAGGTGTAGTAAACTAGGGCTTGACCCTTTATGGATGAGGAGACTCAAACTTAACCTTATCTTCTTTTTCAAAATACTTAACAAACTCTCCTTCACATCCAGTCAGGCGATTCAATATGCTAAGCCTCACATTACGACATTCGTAACTCCTTGTCTTTAGCGAAACAAACATATTCTAGGTCTTCTCTCTATATGAATTACTTTACTTGTAAGTTTTCTAGACTCTGGAATAATTTACCCCAAACTATCCGTATGTTAAACTCTTTCCCATTGTTTGTTCGCTCAATTAATGCTTTTTGCTCCTCTGAAAATGCATTAAATGCTCTAGCGCCTGCAAGTGTATCTTACTCCACAAGGGAGATTATAGGAACTTTAAATGTTTAACCTCTTACTTGCTATCATTGTTTTGTTGTTCCGTGCTCTTTGCTTTAATCTTACTTTCTCTAGTTGTAGATAATTAATAATAACTCGCTCTGGCACTGGTAATAACCTTACAGAATAATGTTGGTCAATCATCAGGCTATTCACTTAATAAAAAAATAAAATGACAAGTTCCCTGGTGTTGCATTGGCTTGCCGTGACTTATGCCATATTTAAACTGTTTATCAATTACTAAACTAGCAAACATAAAACCTTCTTATAATTCATGTTTGTTCTCTACATTAAATGTTGATTTTTATAACAATCTGATCATGCCTGTAAACTGGTGTGAATTCTGTAAATATTATTTTCAGAATATATTATTATTATTATTATTATTATTATTAAAAGTTGCTGACTGACACATCAATATCCAACGGTTATCCACCAAAGTTTATTAATAGCTGCAATAGTCAGTTAATGCCAAGACTTCTGGTTCACTCAGTTGCAAAAAACAAAGTTTATAACTATCAAAAACGTCCAGAGTTTCCTGTCGACTACCTCCAAACAAACTCCCGTGTTACGTGAACAACTACTCTCTATGACTGGATTTTATTTAGATTGATGATTTAAGTAGATTTTCAATACTTAACAAAATGTTTCCTTTTGACTGGTTTGAATAAATGACACATGCTTTTGATACATTCGCTCACAAACTACACAATCCATATGCTGCTAAACAAGTGACATTTCACGAAGACGAAACATATGGAAACACTCCTAAATCCAATTCATATTTTACATATTTAATCATACGCTGTTACGTGTTATTTATTGACGTAGTGCTTCATGAAGAGAATTGAATACTGTGATACCTATCTAAATAAGAGGTGAGTAGTTGTATTGTTAGACGTCAACTGAACATTTGCATCACAATAATGAATCTTGTAACTGTGATAAGGGAATCCTGAGTATGGAATTTGATATCGGTGTTTTCAAATATTGTAAATAGTAATAATAATATTGTTTGGAATTTTGTCATATAACTACTTATCAACTAACTCAATTACCATGTCTATGTGTATATGTGTGTATATATGTTATCTATAGATAGATAAAAACCAGTCGATGAAATCTCTCAACCAAACTAAAATATCATCCTAGAATATGATTTTATTTCATTATCAGTGACTCAGTCAGTGGTATAAATTATCCACGTTGTAAAATGATAAGTGAATCAACATCAGACAGTTGATTCAATTCAAGTGAATTTGTTATTCCACATACATGGGTTCCTCTCATTTTCAAAATGAAAATGTTTACAAAAGCTGAAAGGTTATTATTAAGTCCTTGTTAGTCCCATTATTTCTCTAGCTTAATCACTTTCGAATATCTTTGAGTATATTTGTTCAAGTTAGATTTTGATAAATTATGTTTTTACATCTTACATTAGTCAACATTGGGCTAATAAATTCAGAAGAAAGCAACTGGATAGGATCAGTTGAACACAGTTCTGTGTTTTAATGACTTTCTACCATATTTATTACTCTTCATTCGGTTTGACAATTGCTACAATGACGATGCCACATTCCACCACATACTTATTACAAATATTCCTGTCGTCATTAGCATCCACTACACTACAACACAATAATGCTTATTTGGTAGTGAATATTTTTTTGATATAACATTTGAACTTATTGGTTACAACTGATCACCTTGAGGTATACAACTTTTCTCGCTGTTGATGAGTAATCTTCGCATTATCAATGACATTATTCACTTATCTTGTTAGCACTTTGTAGTATTCATGGAACAATAAACTTGAAATTTGCCACTTCGCGTTTGTAACATGGATTAGTTCAACTTCAGTATTTCGTCTACAACCACTGTGGTGTGAGCTACTGATATCGATATAAGTAGTATATATGGTGAGTAAGGAATAGAATATCTGACAGCAGAAGATTGAGAAGATCAAGAAGAGAAGAACAGAAATAAAAAGCAATTTGTGTGGAAATCCAGGAACAATGAAGTCTGAGGCAATTGAAGAACATTTTGCAAATAGTGTATCATAGCATGGTTTTTGTATTTTACCAAGTAACGTTGTAATTTGCGCTAAATACATAGTTGGTTGTCCTCACCCGTGTTCTCATTCACAACATTTGGTGTCGCTGCCAACCAGGAGGAGGAAGGGTGCTGTTCTGTGGACGCCGCTGCGGGTCTGGAGTGGAGGTGCTAGTTGGGGCAGTCTGGTGGGGAGAGTTGGAGTCGAGTGGAGTGTTCTGGCGGGAGGCGTTGGCTGTAGCAGGTGCTGTCGACGGAGAGGAGCAGTGGGACGTGCGGCTGCTGGGCGGACATCGGATGTAGATGGCTCAGCAGGCCGGTGGAGTACGGGTGTTGAACGTCCCAGGTGCCGGGTGGATGCGGATGTTGGTGCCCCGGCAGGTCGACGGAGCTATGGAGTTCAGCGCGCCGCAGACTCGACATTCTGACGGAGAGTTTGGCACAGACTGCAGTGGAAGAAGATAGTGGCACGGCGAGCAGAACCACCGCATGAACGAATGCTTTAAAGGGGGGACGAGTGTGGTGTGATCTACTTATATCCATATAAGTAGTATATGGTGTGGGTCAGGCATAGAATGTATTTTCGCAGAAGACCGATGAGGAAAGAACTGAAATGAAGCGCAATCGTTTGGAAAATGCATGAACGATGGAATTATTGAAGAAACAGTGAAGATTGAAACAATTGGTTGTTAATTTGCAAATTGACTGTTCATTCTTTGGTAATCAGAATTTACTGAGATAGTCTGTAATCTTTGCTTAAATACATTCGATTGTCCCCAACCAGTCGTGTTCTGTTCACTACATTTGGTGTCGCTGCCTCCAGGGATGAAGATTCCATGGCCAAAGGAATTTGAGGGCGGGGATGTGCTGAGCTTCCTGAAGGAGTTCGAAGCTGTGGCGGAGCTGGTGGGGGTGAAGGAGCCGAAGGCGAAGACGGTGGTGTTGGGGACGCTGCTGAGAGGCAGAGCGAAAGCTGTATATGACAGCCTGGACGGTGCGGGCGGTAAGACGACATGGGAGGCAGTCACGGAGCGGTTGACCGTGGAGTTCGATAGCCCAGTGGACAGAGAGGAAGCACTGCAGAAGTTCCGAGTGGCGAAGTTGCCGATCGATGGTGATCCGCTGGTGCTGGCCGTGGAGCTTACCAAATTGCTGCGTCGCGCGCTGCCAAATCTGGATGAGGAGTCGGAGGCACAGTTGTTGGCGTCTCAGTTTATCGAGAGCGTGCCTGTTGCCGTTTCCCAGCAGCTGAGACTGGTACACGCCGCGCAACCTATGGATATCAGTGAGCTTGCAAAGGTGACGCGACAGTTGATGACACAAACAGTAGCTCCGGTCGCGTGCGGAAGTCAGGAGATAAGCAGCATTGAGAAGAAGATTGAAGAACTGCAGCACGAGATTGCGGCATTACGAGTGATTCGAAAAAGGAATGATAAGTGTTTCGCATGTGGAGGGACAGGACACTGGAAGATAAACTGTCCAACACGACGAAAACGGAGATATTTTAGACGTTACGTGTTTCCTTCTTACTCTAGGGATCTGGGGGTTGTTGCATTAGTAGATAGAGGGGCAGTCTATGCAAGAGTGAACGTAAATGAACTAGATTTAGTGTGCCTAATCGATACAGGGGCAGCAGTTTCGTTAATAGGTAAAGAGCAATGTAAAAGTTTTAAGCCGTGTAAAGTCGCAGTTCACACTATAGGAGGGCACATGTTAGAGGTATTGGGCGTGTCTAACAGTATCGTAAAAGTGGATGGTTCGGAGATAAGTTTTCCGTTCGTGGTAACCGCAAACCTGTCGAGACCAATATTAGGAGCAGATTTCCTAAGAGAAGTAAAAGCCATAGTTGACCTAAGAAGCGGTAAGGTGGTCACGAAGTACGGTTCATTCTCAATACATGAAAGTAGTGAGGTGGCTGAGGTTAGAGTGGCAACAGCCGTTGTGACGAAGAAACCAAACATAACCGAGTTGTGCAAAAAGTATGCGAAACTGTTTACTGAAGAAGGAGAACCGTACGGATTTTGCGACAAAGTAAAGCACGAAATCCCGATAAAGAACAATGGAGGAAGTATATTCACAACACGTCGTGTCCCTGTGCACTTAGAGGCTGAAGTAAATCGACAGGTCCAAGAGATGCTGAAAGAAGGAATAATTGAGGAGGCGGACAGCCCGTATAACTCACCGGTACTCTTGGTAAAGAAACCGAATGGGAAATATAGATTTTGTGTTGATTTTAGAGAACTGAATAATATAACAGAACTAAAGCCGTGTGCAATGCCAACAGTAGTGGAAACATTAG